GTCGATAGACGGTCGACATTTATACTGAAATGAAGTTCACAATTGAACATCGTTATGTTTATTGTCGAAATGTATCCGTAATTTTCGTCGTGAATATCCATACTCGCCAGTTCCCACAAAGTCATGTGTATCCAAGCTTGTGAAAAAGTGGAATGTTATTCATTCTGCAGAACTTCAGTGCCGCGAGGATTGTTCTTGTAGACTTTTCTCTTCAGGTTTCCCCAAAGATGAAAATTGTAAAAACTGAGATCTGGGAGGTCACAGTCCTCTGCTGATTATTCTCTCATCAAACACTTCCCGTATTGCGACCATGGATGCATTAGCCGTATGTTTTGTAGCGTTGTCTTGCTGAAAATACCCATATTGTCTCTCTCCAGCAGTCAGCAGATTGAAGAAGGGATTCAGTACATCATTAACGTAGCGGTCAGAGTTCGCGGTTTCGTGGGAAAACTAAAGGGCCAGTGCTTAGGCGCGGACTTACAGCACACCGCCTCCCACCTTTTCACTATGTAATCGCACTTGCTGTATAGCGTGAGGATTTTCTTCATCGCTCCGTATTCTTACGTTTTGTGCATTGACATGGCCACAAACGTGAAACCACGCTTCATCAGTCATGAACAGAAGCTGTGGATCCATGACTCCATCGTGCACATTTTGCAGCAGCCTGTTACAGAAACGAATTCTTGCTGCATAATCTGGTTGTTTCAGCTCATACACAACTGCTATTTTATACGGGCGAAATTTGATTCATTTTGTGGCTGTGAAAGCAGATCCTAGTGGAACACTGGTTTCCTGTGCTAAGCATCTTAACGATTTTTGTGGACTGATCTGTAGTAGTGTCTCAGTATCCCGAACAATTTCTTCAGTCAGCACTATCCTCTTCGATTGCTTCTTTATTTCACACACTGAACCTGTGGCCCGCACTTTTTCACAAGCTTGGATACACACGACTTTGTGGGAACTGGCGAGTCAGGATATTTACGACGAAACTTCTTCCTTCTAACTTTTTCCTTGCAAAAGTTTCGACAAAAACACACGCTGTTCAATAGTGAACTTCATTTCGGTATAAACGTCGACCGCCTATCAACGCCTTTAACAAAGACTGACTATTAACGCGACTTACTGCAGTGACAAGGGCCGCGGCTCAAACGGTTAGTCGATTGCTTCCCACCCCGGCGGCCCGGTTTCGATCCCGAGTCTGGTCAAGTGGGATTTGTGGTGGACAAAGTGGCGCTGGGGCAGGTTTTCTCCGAGTACTTCGGTTTCCCTTTCTAATCTTCATTCCACCAATTTCCCCACAATCAACCTCACCTATCATCTGGGGCTGGTACAATAGGTCAGAAGTGGCCGCAGTACAAGGGACTTAGTCTCACCCCACTAGCATTAAAAAAATGACTGGAATGACAAAATCAGGCCACTTGAAGATGCGCCTTTATCAGCGCTAATAGCTCGTTCTACTATTGGCAGTTACAGCAGCGATCTATGAGGAACGTTGTTCCTGCCCAACGGTGTTGCGAAATTTCCTCGTTTGTTGAATGCATTGTATATATTTTACCATTTAAAATTTTTTACAGCAGGCGGGATTCTTAACTGAAATGCATTTCTAAATGTAATCACTTTTTAAATTCCTTGTGAATGTACTTTCGATATGCCATATACATTATTTTTGTAAGACCGAAGTTCTCTTACATTGAGCGTTAGGAACCTCTGAGTGCGAAGTCCTTGGGAAGCAGGAAAGACTGAAACTGAAAGGAATGTAGACATCAGCGACTCCAGTCTTCTGATGGTGTTAATTTGCTGGGTAAAGAGAAACGAAGTCACCTTATAGAAAAACAGGAAAATTCTTTCAAAATCCAAAGAAAACACTTAATTGAAGTTAAATTTAAAGTATACAGCATGTGAACGCATGTTGGGATTTCTTTTTCATAGTCCAACAAAATCGTACGACTATTGGCAGTTAATCCATAAAAAAATATGATTAAATTACGTTGAGAGGCGTTTAGAAGGTTAAATCTGAATGTCTGACAGTAAAATTCCTTTTATTGTAAGCTAGTTTATGCAATTGTTACTTCCGGCAGACCTAGTTAGTTGAAGTTTACTGATGGCAAATGAAGTCACAGTTTATAGGGCGTTATAGCCCTGGACAGGGGTAGGACAGGAGTGTCCAGGCTGTGGCAACATCCCCTATGAAATGTCAAAGTCCCCCCCCCCAAAGAGAGAGGTTTCTTACCATCGGTAAACAAGTTATCTTTCATTTAACTAAAACGAATTACAGGGAGAACTGATGTGGATATTAATAAATTAATGAGAAGCTCTTCGACCGAGTAAATGTCTCTGTTCTGTCAAGTTATTTTACCTCTTTGTCATTCGACAAATTCTGCAATGAAATGTATGTTCAACGACTGAACAAAAGAAGGACAGTTTTCTACATCGGTTAAATATTAGTATAAAATACAGAATGAGAATATCCTTGTCGCTCGGTGAATAATTTAGCCTGCCCGAGGGCGTCCGGCTGGCTGCTCGAGGAGCGAACAACCCTGTACTTACAGCAGGTGATCGTGTGGTCGTCATGATGTCTGTTAGGTGGTGGCTCACCTCCCCCTAAGGGGCTCTCAGTTCCATTTTCTTATCCGGGCTGCGGCCCATGGGCAGTACCTCGAACTACACTGTTACTTCCGTGACTGCAAGAGGAGTTCTGGAGAATATCTTAATTCCATCAAGAATTCCATCATCACTTCTTGCGGGTGTTATCCCACGTATCGTTATAAATCTGTTATTGGTTAATCACGCCCTATATTCAGCTTGGCGTCTCCACTAGATGGCCTCCGATTGGCTCGTTGCGCGCTTGTTACATACCCTTCCCCAATTTTGCTTGTCCTACTTATGCTGAAAAGTCACGTAGTCTGCTGATTTGGCTATATCCTGTTACAAGTTTCAGAGCAGCAGTTCTTAAAGGTTTACTGTGTGGTTTCCCTCATGACTACGTGAGTTTTAAACTTCATGTAAAACGCTGTAACTTGCGTGTGAAAAACATAAATAATTAATTAGTAATTAATCATTTCATAGATGAATGTACATCAAGAATAATTGTGAAGTATGATGGTAGGGGCGCTCAGAACAAGGGAAAGAAATTCAGCTTTTCATCTTGGGGTTGATGGTACATATTCGAAATTACTAATACATTCGCCAGACAATTTCAGTCAGCATAAAATAATTCTCGACCAGGGATCTTCCACTTCCTTTTATACGATTTCATTTTTATCCTACTTTCCTAAAGTAGGCTTGTGGGATCTCCATTCTACCTGCGTGTCTGTGAATCACCCCCCCCCCATCAACTTCAGAATTTTCAAACCACTCTTTACGAAACTTTGTATATATATATATCACGGCAGATGAGCCCATCTTAACGGCGTACTTCATAAATCCCTTCCATCAGACTGTGTGTCTGTATATGTATGTATGCCTCCTGTCGTTAGGAAAAGGCCTAATGAACACGTTCCCGTGGCAATGAATAATCGCAACACTAGAATTGTTGGACAAGTGCTTTTGTGGGTCTGTCTGTGTTCTCCCTATCGTTGCTAGGTAACAACTAGGTAACGGCTTCCCCACGGTTATGAGAAATTGTTGGAGACGTTTTCTATCCGATCCGCGTCGTACCAAAGGAAAGTAGGCGATTAATTCTTCCTAGAACTCTTTGTTAATCCTTAGTTACCATTTCGGTTTCGGGTGTATTTAAAGCACTTTCACGCCTATCCTGTTATTCTGTTATCTAAATCACACTTTTTCTCGGCGTTTCAGTTTATATGTTTGTTTTGTTTTGCTTTTACTTTTGGCCACCTTATAATTAGCCTGGCCTCTAACGTAAGGACTTAAATATAGTGAGAACTGAAAAGCTTTGACATATTTTTTCTAAAAGTAATAAAACAAAATAATGTAAAATACAACTTCGCCCGTTGTTTTGCATTGCTATAAACTTGGACCGACGCTCTGAAGAAAGAAGACATATTGACATCCCTTTCAACATGAGTGCCTCAGTGAGTCTGGAGAGTAGGACAGTTTCATACTGAAGCACACCAAGAACTAAGCCCCTCAGTGAATGTTTTGGCGATGGGCTTGGCACGTATTGTAACGTGGATTGGAGAACTGAGACGTACATTGTTTTGCTGGAAGGAATTCCCTGGGAGGCGGCGATGTAGAAGGCTGTCAAGCGATTTATGATTTGGACTGAACTGGCTCAGGATATATTGGCAACAATTACAAATCGCTTATCAGTATAACATGAATCCCCCCTTGATAAGCATCCGTATATTTTTGTATAACTCTGCAGGTCTTCTGTACCTACAGCCAGGCATCTCACAACGCTTGCAGTTGATACAGTGTTGTCTCTGACAGGTCGATCTGCTACTTCGTGTTCGAATCCACACGAGGAACTAACTAAATTAAACTCACATTAATATTGAGACTGACCTTTCAAATAGGTCACGGCCGCTTCCTCTTCCTAACATATCACAAATAGCCTAACATGTTTCATTCACAGCCAAATAGTCCCTGTAACTGATATAATGTCGTTAAACTGCACTGATGAAAAAATAGCAGGCATTATAAACGTCTTACTTCAAATATTAAAATCCTAAGGTATTTACATAAAGTAGACTTGTTGGGGTTCGAACCGCTGATTTATAGGTGTTCCTTTTCGGCTTCCTTCCTGGATACTAACAGTCCCATGCGTAAGTGCTTCAACAAAATAGTGGCTACTCTACTGCACTTCCTGAAGATGTCGGAAATTCTTTCTCTACCTGCAAGATGCAGCATCCAGGGGAGCCCCGCCTCCGCCAATCACAGGTGAGAGAACCAGTGACGTCACGACGGCAGGACAACGGTGGAGGTGGTTACCTGTGTCCGGGGTGGGGAGAGGTACTTCTTCTTGGGGGAACTAGCCCCCTCCCTTAAAGAAGTCCCAGTACCGGTAAAACAGTTTGTAGTTCTTTGGTACCCCTGAAACTGGCAAGCGTCTCGCAGTGTAGTCTGATTGTTGCAGTGACAAGCTATATACCTGCCGTCATCAGTGTGATCACTGATATTTGACGAACGTAATTGCTTATCACTTTCAGTTGTCCGTACGAAGAGGTTAACATGTGGCTCCGATAGAAAATTGTGAACTACTTTCAGTTAGAAAGATACTTGACGCAACACACGGTACTGTTCTGTTATTCTACGAAATGTTTAGTGTGGAGATCAGAAGTAAGGTGTTGACACATCTACAAGACGACTCGTTATATTTTTTGAAGATATGGCTCTTGTGAGGAAAGGAAAACCTGTCTGAGGCACAGAACTGCTTGCACAGCGCCGTTATCTCAGCCCGGCTGGCCTGCTGGATCTTTGGCCCTATCTCAGTCACGGACGGACCTTCCATCACACAGCTCAGGTTCCGAGTAGCAATTGTCACGTATTTACATTGTTGTGAGGCGTCCTTGAACGTGAATAGGCCATGGAAGAGGGAAGCAGGAAAAAGAACAGCGGATGGTGATCGTTTCCAACAGTGATAACACTGACCGCTACTAAACCTTCTTCCTTAATCACCGTGTCACACAGAAAGAGACTGGGAGTTATGCAAGTGTGAGATGTGCAGCGTCATGAAACGAACAGAATTTTCAGAGTGCTGTATCCAGAAGACGATATCATAAGAACAAAGGAGTGACGAAGTGGCAATGTAAAGGAAGGAACCATCTATGTGGCGATGAGGACGGGGGTGCTAGTGTGGGGCGCGGTCGTGTTGTTGGCGACGATTCGCATAGCGTCGGGGTGCGGGCCGGGTCGGGGGGCGGGCCGGCGACGCGGGCCCCGCAAACTCACCCCGCTCGTATTCAAGCAACACGTACCCAACTTATCGGAGAATACACTGCCCGCCAGCGGTCTGACCGAGGGGCGCATAACCCGCGAGGACCCACGCTTCAGGGACCTTGTACCTAATTACAACACGGACATTATCTTCAGGGACGAGGAAGGAACCGGCGCTGATCGCCTCATGACACAGGTCAGACTATTTCCATTTTCTTTTTCAAGGAAAAAAAAAGAAAAGGAGTTTCCCCATCAAAGTTGTGTGACTTTGCTAGTTTCAAACAGAATGGGAGCATAAATTATGGAGTTACTTGTGTAATTTTCTTCGTTCTGGGACCTCTGTATTACCCAGTTAAATTTCTTAATGCAATTACTGTTTAACTCAACAGCTTTAAGTGTAATAACGTTCGGTATGCAAGAGACAGAGGACAGAGGTCTCATTCAAATGGTTCATGGTAGTCCAGTTTCTCGTGCAGTGACAAGCCGTAAGGTTCAATGATTCCGCACTGACCACTTGTTATTTATTCTCTCGCGTGTCAATTTGAACGCTCATTTCTCGTTACACCCGCCGAGTACGTGCAAAGTGGGAGCGCCATTCCCTTGCTATTTATTTACCTTTTAATAGGACTCTTGTTATTAACCGACAGACGAGACTGATTGTATCAATCATTATTTTATCGACTATTTTTGTCAATCAATCAATCAGGCCCACAGACTTTGACACTGAATATTAAAAGTAAGATAAAAAGAACATTCTCGAATGAGTTAGATGTTTGTAATATGCGTATTTGCAGTCATAATTCACACGTTCCTGGATGTTTAACCACAAGATTTGGCAACTACGCCTTCGCACTGAACAAACAGTTCGTAGGTTCAGACTTTAAGTTACTTGTTTGTAACTAATTCATTTATATATTAGTGATTACTTTTGGTGACAAAATATATTTATACTAAGTAACTAATTTCATGGAGAGGATCCCTTCTCGAGAAGCCGTCAGTTGTGCAGCTACTCAAGAACTTCCCAATATTTTATAGAACCGAATGTTCAGTACCGTGTTCACAAGAGCCCTCCACTGGTCCCTATCCTGAGCCAAATCGATTCAGTCTCTACCACCTCATCCTATCTCCTAAGATCCATTTTAATATTGTCCGTCCACCTACGTCTTGGTCTTCCTAGTGATCTCTTTCCTTCTGGCTTTCCCACCAATATCGTATATGTATTCGGCTTGTCCCCCATTCGTGTAACATGTCCTGCCCAACTCATCCTCCTAACCATTCTAACTATACTTGGTGAAGAGTACACGTTATGAAGCTGCTCATTAAGCAGTTTTCTAGAACCTCCCGTCACTTCATCTCTCTTTGGTCCAAATATTCTCCTCGGCACCCATTTCTGAAACACACTCAGTCTATGTCAGAGACAAAGTTTCATACCCATACAGAACCACAAGCAAAATTATTGTTTTGTATATTCCAATTTTTATATTCTCAGACAGAAGCTTCTGCGCTGAATGGTAACAAGCATTGCCCCTAAAAATATATATTCGTATGAAACAACTAATTTTCTGATTCACAGAAATCTGATAATTAGTATAGGATATTAAGTTGCTTGAAAATCTTCTGGGAAACCCTGTCGGTTACGTAGTTTCCGCAAGACGAGGTGCCATGCCTACTTAAATTATAGGGCAGAGTCCTGCTTGGGAAGCTGTACCCATTCCCAGCCTTTAATGGAACTTGAAAGTATACTGACGTGTTCACAAGATCCCCCCCCCACTGAACCCTATCCTGAGCCAGATGAATCCAGTCTACATTCGAGCCCCATATCTTTAAGGTCCGTTTTAATATTATCTTCGTTCTACTGCTTTTACAATAACTTACAAAACCTCAGAAATAGATAGGACTTTGTTTTAATTGGGGTGACCAAGAATTTCCACGCCTCCCCCTTGCTACAAATGGAGACTGAGTATTGTGTTTGAACATGCTCACTTATCTGTGAGACGGGTCATAAGATGTATTTGCTTGTTAGGTTTGTTCACGAGCCTTATCTTCACGGGCATGTGCATTATGGACAGACGTACACAATTATATACGCGCAGTTGTGGTATTTTATGTAGAAACGATCGGTGCACAGCACACACAGGCGACGTTACGAACAAGTTACTGTTTGTTGGTTAGTTAACGGTTATCGTATATTGAACACTCTGTGCTTATCTTTCGGGCGAAATTGATAGAACTTCCTTGATAAGTGCTCATTAGGTCATTAAACCACTCTCGACTCTTGTATTTTCTCACGAAATTTTAAATTTCTAACTAAAAGGTAAAGTTTTCCCTGTAACAGGCCGTGAAGGCCCATAGGATTATGAGATGTTGAGGGTCCCACATTATCTAGACAGTCGGCTCAAATATGGCGGTAAGGTTGTCAGCCTTACGCGCCGACCGCGCTTTACTCCCAAGGAAAATTATTTAATTAATTCCTCGTACACATTTCTGTTAGAGGCTGAGTCGACCCCAGGGCCATAGTGCGGGTGGAAAGATTAGGTCAATTGAAAAAAAAAATCCAACGACCTTATCGGGACTTGAACCCGCGACCTTCCGGCTTGTAGCATAGTGCCTCAACCAACTACCTGTTTAGAAATTAAATAACGTCCGTGTCGTAGAAGTGAAAAAGAAATACGCGATTTGTGTGTTTCCGTACCAGAATTTATGGAACGATGCTTTAAGTGTGGTCCGACAGTTCTAGACGTACAGGCAAAGTGGCCCTCAAGATAGTCCACACATGCGCGGAGGTCTCAGACAGATGATATATTTCTTTTAAGCTGCCGGGATAGTTGTCAATTGAATTCCTGAAGTGCGTGTCTCAGCGTTTAAAGAGGGCACTGTCTAAGTCTGGATACATGTTAAGCAATGTTATTGCTGTGACTTAACTGGAAGATGAACGGAAGATCTGGGGTATTTCAGGCTCCATGACATATGCGAGCAGAACTGTACATAAGGTATGTACTACACATTTCAGTGAGATTTATATTTTGATATTTAAGTACTCACACTTTAACAAATATGCTCTATTTACTACAGAGCAACCATTGCTGCTCCAGTATTGGGTACGCTGTATATGATCGCACCCAAAATTTTCATAAAAGCACTTCATTATTTTGTACGAGAGGACTCTTTCTTAAGTACATAAGAAGGTTCAGAAATTATGATTCCTCTTATTCATGCTTTCAACAGTGTACACAAGGAAAACACTTATGGGGGGGATATCATATATGTTTGCATGTTTGAGAACCGTCTGACCTGTGTTTGTTGTAATTTGATATGACCCCCCCCCCCAATCCCAATTTATTTTTTCCTTGGCACTACAGCCCCAGTGGGCCTAGCCCTACCTCCATCAATTTCTCCTTTCACTTCGGTTTTTCTCGATCTTACACATTCGGTAGGACTCCTTGGGCGGGTGATCAGCTCGTCGCAAGGCCTCTACCTGTACATAAACACACAAACTAAACAACCACGCCCTGAGTGGTATTCGAACCCACGATCCCGGTTTTCAAGCGAGCGAAGACAGTACATGCCTTAGACCGCTCGGCTACCCTGACCGGCCCCCCAATCCCATACTTTTTTATAATGCTCAACAAACGATAACAAAATTTATGACAGGAGCAAGAACTGTGACATGACAGCGACACTAGTGCCATTACCGAAACGCAGTAACCGTACTTACGGCGCATGCAAAACCGGCAGACACCAGAAGAAGGAGCGTGACTTCGTGGGTTCGATATGGGTTGCGGAAACTCTAGGAGCGATTATTTTGCGTGTTTATGTATCCCTGCAAGTGACGCCACGCTTCATCAGAAAAGAATGTCAGTTGTGGATCGATCTCATCTTCGAAGACACGCTGTAGAAACCAACTGTAAAAATGAACCCTGCTAGCATCTAGACTGACTGACTGACTGACTGACTGAGAAACTGGTAGTACCAAGCGACGCTGTTTAGGCAGTGATTAGCAAGCAGGGCAGTGGCACTCGAAGAAAGAAGTTCGACGTTAAATGAAATTAAAACTACTTATTGAATGACCAGACTAAACTGTTTTACTCCCTTCCACTACTGTTTCATAGGAGAAACTGCATTAAGTCCCAACATATTCCGGCGAAGGAAAACAGACGAAAAATTACGATAGTACGAGTGGCGCCATTTAAGTTAAGCACGTGTGTCCAAATCGAATCTACGATTTGGGTAAGCCATCGTAATCAAAAATAATACCGCAAGCTCAGTGATATTTTGTAAGCATGTACGAGTAAGCAAGGCAGTCTTCCTTTATAAATTCACTGCGCGAGATGCAGAATGTGGGCTCATTATTGGTATAACATGACTGTTTGTTACCTCGTCGGCGTGTAGCATCGCCGAAACTGACGTTTCTACATATGACAGGGCACGGCGATGAAGCAGCAGAATTATTTTCAAGAATACCGCCTTCCTGTACGTGACGCCATGCGATCTGGCAGATGTTTACGATGTTTTGAGATACATGGTGTCTCAATGTTCAATCCCAGAAGACGGCATTTTCAAAGTCATTGCCATAAGAACCTCAAATCATCCACGGAATATTCTGTCCAAATAAAAACGGAACTAACGTCCTCGGTTCAAGGACACTTATCTGTGGAGTTGTTTACATATAAGCACATATATACAATCTCATAAACGCGCAATCAGAAATTCATTTTCGTGACGTGCTGTGGCATGTAAGTCTGTGAACCTGATGGAATTACAGCGGCAAGCAGAGGCTCAGCTGCGGAGAATATCATAACCAGGTGGCCGCAATGGAAATGAATGCCTTGGTAACCTGACCCCCAGGAGTGGTCGCTCAGCAGATAAGACGACCATCTCCATTAGCCTGTGTAAACGACCTCAAACTGCTGAGTGCCAGCGTCTGCGCTGGCATTTAGAATACTATTCCAACCCAAACAAACAAACAAACAAACAAACAAAAGGTTTGTGAGCTGAAGAGGAACAGAACGTCAATCGTTCCCGAAACCCGGAGAGAACAGTATTAACGACTGAACGTGATGTACCAAACACGCTTAGTGTAATTGCTTGTGAAGAGTCAGTTTTCTTCATGCCCACAGACCAACGTTACTAAATTTTCTACCACGCATATATCCCGAAGGTTCTCCACCGTGTTCACAACTGGCCACTGGTCATCCA